TACCTCTTGCTTGCTGGAACTCAAAAGGCATATCGAGAATCGTAAGTAAAGTCGGAGTGCCCATTGCAACTGATAATCTGACTACACAAAGGACTCGATTGACTTATGCAAGAATCTGTGTGCTTGTTGATAGTGAATCTACTTATCGTGACGAAATCACTGTGTCTCTTGATGGGGATGTGGTAAGTTTAAAAGTTCAGTTGAATTGCGGCCAATACCTTGCTTGTATTGTAATTCTTTAGTTCATTACTCTGCTTCATGTCCGACTAAGCCAGAATCTTCTATTAAAGGAAATGAGAATCCTTCTGTTGCTGTCTCCACCGATTTAAACAAGAGAGGTAGAAGTCCTCCAAAAAATTGTAAACCCCCTGCTGAAATTCTGGAAAAGCCACCTCCTCAAAATATTTTTGTCCAGGTGCGGGATTTTCCTACCACCCTTTCGGAACCTTTGCATACAATTTCTCATCCCAACAGCTTGGGTATGCAGCTTCTTTACCAAAAGCACTCCCCTCCGCCTACAAAAAATAGACCTGCTATAGACCCTATTCAGTCTGACTCTGTTTTGAGTGCTGATCTCCCTAACTCTACAAACATACCAAATCTAAATTCCCCTAGCATGGATGGTAATGATATTGCTCAAATCCAAATTCAGGCCCCTATGCCACCTGCTGGGGTTATCTCTCTGAATAGATTTGAAATTTTACAACAGCAGGAGGACTCTCATTCCTCGTCTGATAATTTGATCGTTGATAATAAGTCTGATGATAGTAAGAACTCTAAAGGGAAGTCTAGTCAGGCTTCTAGCTCCATCTCACCCAAAAAACCGCATAGGGGGAAGTAGGGTAAAAGCCTCCTCCTCATCCCAGTCCATGATGATTTTGCCTAATATAGCTATTTGGAATATCAGGGGATTTAACCGCCCTGATAAAGTTCTTTGCTGTAAAAGTTTGGTGGCATCATTTAGTCTAGATATGCTCTATATTTTAGAGAATAGGATTCTTCTTTCCTCTCTTCAATATCCCTTCTTCGAATCAACTCATACTATTTTCAACTTTAAAAGTAGTTGCAACAACTTTTCTCTTTCCTCTTCTGGATATATTTGGTTGAAATGGAACTCTAACAAGATTCACTTTCAGCCTACTATCGTCACTCCTCAACTTATTTCGGGTATGATCTCTATTGGTGGCTTTGTTAAGTTTCATTTTTCCATCATCTATGCCTCTAATAATAGTGTTGAATATCTTGCTCTTTGGGAGCTTATTATGCAATCTGCTACTCACAAAGATGTCCCCTGGATTCTGATGGGTGACTACAACTGTTGCCGGTTCACTTATGAAAAATTAGGTGGCTCTCCTCTGACTTCCAGGAACCTTTTTGATCTTAATACTATGATTTTTTCTAATGGGTTAAATGATCTCCCTTCTACTGGTTGTAAATTTACCTAGTATAATCAACATTTAGAATCTCCCATACATATTAAGCTTGATAGGGCTTTGGTTAATGAAACTTGGTGCTCTGCTTTTCCTAACTCTTATTTCTCTTTTCAAAGTCCTTCTTGCTCTGATCATAGTCCAATTATTTTGCATTCTGGATTGTTAAAGCATGCTAATCATAGATTCCTTTTTAAGAATTTTTGGACTAAAATGGATTGCTACTGGGCTCTACTTCTTGAAGTATTTTCTAAACCTCATTCTGGTAATCCTATTAACTCTTTTTGTGATAATCTCAAGTTGTTAAAAGGCAGCATTCATAATAATTCCTGGGTAAATTCTACCTCTATTACTTCTTAATTGGAGGAGCTTCAGAAGTCACAAATGTATTGGATGGACAAACTTCATGAGGATCCTTATAATCCATCTCTTAATGCTTCCCTCAAAGATATTAAATCTAGAATCTCTGATTATTCTAACTTGATGGCTGACTCGACTATTCAAAGGGCTAAAGTGAACTGGCTAAAGCAAGGTGAAGATGATTTAAAATTCCTTTATGCTAAAATCAGGAGTAGAAAATTCAAGAATCAAGTGGTGGGGCATCTTGCCCATTCTACTTCTATTTATCCTACTTCTGTTGGGGTTCAAAGTGTCATCCAATACTTTCAAGATCTTTACAATCTGGTTCCACCCCTCTTGGTGGATATGTCAATTTTTCCTTTAGGATCATATATTCCTGATCACCTCATCTATTCTCTTTCTGCATCGGTTACCATTGATGAGATTAAGAAAGCTGTGTTTACTGGCTCTCCTACTTTCTCCCCTGGTCCGGATGGATTCAATTTTCACGTTTATAGATTTGGATGGTATATTATAGGTCCTTTGCTCATTAAAGTTGTTAGCTCTTTCTTTACCAAAGGTTACATGCCGAGAGGGGTAAAATCCACTCCACTTTCTCTTATTCCTAAACATAAGCATGCTTTTTACTATTTCTGACTTTAGACCTATTGCTATGTGTAATGTTCTTTATAAATGTATAGCTAAGATTTTAGCTAATAGACTTGCTCCTATCATTCCTATTATTGTGAAAGCCAATCAAGCTGGATTTATTAAATCCAGAATGTCTACCGATAATATCCTATTAGCAAAAGAAATCATCGACTATAGTAATAGAAGTGGCACTAATATCTTTTGTGCTAAACTTGACATTCGGAAGGCTTTTGATATAGTTTCTAGAGATTTTTTAATTGCAAGGCTTATGCAGAAAGACTTCCTTCAACAATTTATAAGTTGGATTAAATCTTGCATTTATGATGTTAAATTCTTTATCATTCTTAATGAGGCTTTGGAGGGATTTTTTCCCTCTACGGCAGGTTTGAGGCAAGGTTTCTCTTTCAGCCCTCCTCTCTTCTATCTGGTTATGGATGCATTTTCCACTTTGTTGGACGAAAGTGGTTTTAAAGGCTTCTCTATGGATGGTTTTAGCATCTCTCATCTACTCTATGCTGATGATGTTTTGGTTTTTGGTGAAGGTAGTATTAATAATTGTCACATTTTGTCTAAAATTCTCATAAACTTTGCTAATGCCTCGGGTTTGCATATCAATTTGGATAAGAGTTCTATTATGTTTCCCAAGTGCTTGAGAAACTAGAATACTATTTGTGAGGCTTTAGGTATCCATAATATTAGTGATAAAATTATCTACTTGGGTATCCCGCTATCTTTTAATGTTTTGAAGATTGTTGATTTCATGCCTTTGATGGATTCTATTACAAAAAAAATGTCTGGTTGGAGTGCAAATCTTCTTTCTTTTGCTGGCAGGTTACAATTTTTTAAATTCACCATGATTAACTCTATTGCCTATTGGATTAGGGGATCCATTATACCCAAAACGATTTTGAAATTCTTTAAGAAGATCTCCTCTAAGTTTCTTCTTACTGGTGAGTTGGATGGCAGGAAAAAGATCCATATGATTTCTTGGGACAGAATATGTAAACCCAAGGCATGCGGTGGTTTGGGTATTCCTTCTATGAACTGTTTGCAGTTTGCATTTAATTGCTCTATTATTGAGAGAATGTATAACTGCTCTAGTATTTTATCCACTTGGCTTATTTATAGATATAAGTCTACTTGGTGTCCCCCTTTCTATAGGGACTCTAAATTTTGGAAGGCAATATGTGTTACTTCCTAGTCTTCTAAATCCTTCTTTAAATTTAGAATTTCTGCTTTTGCCACCATTTCGCTGTAATGGGATCATTGGTGTAATCATGCCTTACTCTATGATATTCTTGAAGGTTTTTGTTTTTTGAACATTACTTGAGCGGATACTCCTTTCAAAGACTTTATATCTGGTAATGAATGGACTCTCGCAGAGTCCCTCCCTACTACTTTAAAGAATTACATTTCTAATATCAGTATCCATGATATTTCTATTCCTTGCTTAGTATGGGACAATAAGGCGGCTGGCCTATTTAGGGAGTATATTGCTGGTTTCTACTCTCTGGATGCTACGTTTTCTTGGGCAAAATTGATATGGCATAAAAAATCTGTATTAAGATTTTCGGTTTATACATGGATGGCTGTGGTGGGTGGTTTGAAAACTGCTTATGAGCTTCTAAAAAGAAACATCTCTGTCCCTTCTACTTGTGGTTTATGTCACTCGGCTCCAGAATTTACCTCTCACTTATTTTTTGAGTGTCCATATTCTTTCTCTGTTATCACCTACTTCATGCCTACAGCTTGTGGTTTTTTGCTCAGACAAACCATGCTTCAACCGCTTGATTGGATAGAGACTTCCTTTTATCATTCCAGGGCTGAAAAAAATTTTAACCTCCTCATAGCTTGTAGTTCCATTTATTTCATTTGGAGGGAACGTACTGATAGAAGATTAGGATCTTCCTCTCATAATCACATTTCCACTGTATTGGCTATTAAAAGGGCGGTCTTTGAGAAAGTTACTAATTGGAAAAATTCAGGTTAACTGTTGGAACTTTTATGATATTTCTTCTGTATCCTTCGTGGATGATGCTATATTCCGATTAGATTTGCCTACGGGTATTGCCTTGGACTATGATGCACCCAAATGCAAGCTCCCCGTGGACGGCCTTTGGGGAAACAGGGGGTTCTCGACACTCAAGCTACTTTTCTGAGTCCAGGCATCATTGTGGGATCCGATCTTTTTGTTCTCTCAGCTCTTATTGCTGTTTTGTCTTTTTGTTGTACTCAAGATGTCAAATTCAAAGAATGTAATTTTTATTTTTTTGGGCTTCTCCAAGCCAGCCTCTTTTTATTTGAGGCTTTAGATCTTTATTTTTACATGTAACCTCTGCTGATTAATATACGGGCTTTGCCCAAATTTCCCCAAAAAAAAAATTTCGAAAAAAAGGTAGGAGCAGCAGGCAAAACATAGAAAGGGAAAGGATTTCTTTATTATATGTAAAGTTGTGATGTAATAAGAGTATAAATAGATATAGGGAAATGTAAGAGGCTAGAATAATTACAAGAAGACCATAGTGATGTGGCAGACGTCTTAAGAGGCCCCCTCAAATTGATCATTCAGGATTTGAATGGTTAGTTTGCTATGGAGGTCTTCGAAGCGACCAGCGGCTTTGTAAGGATGTCCTCAATTTGATCGGTGGAGCTGATGTGCTGTAATGTGACAGATCCAGAGGCAATATGTTGACAGATGAAATGGTAATCAATTTCGATGTGTTTGGTCATGGCGTGAAACATTTAGTTTTCTTCTATGGCGATAGCCGAGGTGTTGTCGCAGTGTAGTGTGGTTGGAGAGGTTTGAGTGATTTGGAATTCTTCTACCAGGTGATGAACCCACAGCACGTCGGAGGTCGCAGCTGAGAGAGAACGATATTCTGCTTCGGTGGAGGACTTGGCGACGGTGGCTTGCTTGTTTACGGACCAATAGATTAGAGTGTTGGCAAGAAAGGTGCAGAAGCCTGAGACAGATTTTCGATCTAGATCATTCGATGCCCAATCGGCATCGGCGTATGCTCGGAGCTGCAGATTGCCGAGATTGATGGGTAGCCCAAAGTTTAGGGTGCCTTTGATGTACCGAAGTAATCTTTTTAGAGCTTGATATTGATCAATAGTTGGAGCATGCATGTGTTGGCAAATGTGATTCATAGCAAAGGCTATGTCTGGATGACTTATGGATAGGTACTAAAGGGATCCGGTGAGCTTGTGATACGAGTGCGGATCATGATAAGGTTGATCTGCTTCAGGTGTTGTAGAAGATTTCAGAGAAGTTGGGGTAGGGGCGGAGATACAATTAGCTAGTCCCGAATTTTGTAGCAGCTAAAGGGCGTAGTGGCATTGGTTGAGGAAGTAGCCTGTGGAAGTTATGAGAACATGGATGCCAAGAAATAATGAGACATTACTGAGTTGCATGAGAGTGAAATGTGACTACAGTTGTTGGAGAATAGATTTGAGTGTCTCTTGATCATTTCCTGTAAGTAAGATATCGTCCACGTAAATGAGAAAGTAAAGTTGTATATGATTGCATTTAAAAATAAGGAGAGAGGAATCAGAACAGCTAAACTCAATTTCAAATTGTTAAAGGAAATTTGTGAGTTTCTGAAATCATTGGCGAGGAGCCTGTTTGAGATAGTAAAGTGATTTGTGAAGTTTGCAGACATGATTAGTATGTTGCGAATCGATGAAAACTGAATGTTGGCACATGTTCATTGTGTCTTGAAAGTCACCATTGAGAAAGGCGTTCGAGACATCGAGTTGAGGACCAGCTATTGACGATGATGTGCGAGAGTTGAGAGAATGCGAATGGTAGGCATTTTAGCCACGGGGCTAAAGTTTTCTGTATAGTTTATGCCTAGTGTTTGATTGAAGTCCTAAGCAACCAATCGTGCTTTGTAGTGATCTATTTGGCCTTTAGGTAGAAGTTTTGTTTTGTAAGTCCACTTGCAACTGAGAATTGGTTCGTTCGTGGGCTTGGGAACAAGGGAACATGTCCGTTGTCTTTGAAGTGCGAGAAATTTGTTTGACATTGCGGTGCGCCAATGTTGTGATTTGGAGGCTTGCAAGAAGCTGGTCGGTGTGGAGAGATTGGACATGGTAGCACCTAGGTTGAAGATTTGTTTAGGTTTGAGAATGTCGTATTTGGCACGGGTCTGCATGTGGTGTGTGGGTTGAGCAGGTTGTACAGGTTGTACAGTCACAGATGACAAGGAAGGAGTTAGAATCACAAAGGTAGAGGTATCGAGCTGAAGCTGAGTTGAAGATGTAGTGGTAGGCATTGGTGTTGGGTTTAAATGAGGGATAGAATGGGTAGCTGAGGTGGGGGTTAAAAGAAGAGGGGAGAGAGAAATGACGGGTGTAGGTGAAGGAGTAGAAGGCTTATTGTAAGGAAAGGTTTGTTCTTGAAAGGTGACATGCTGGGAGATTTGAATCTTGTTGGAGACGGGATTGAGGCATCTATATCCTTTGTGTTGGGAAGAGTATCCTAGGAAAATGCATGGTTGGGAATGAGGGGATAACTTGTCGAAGAGGTACGGGCGAGCCATTGGAAGCACATGCATCCAAAGGTGTGAAGATGAGTATAGGTTGGTTGGTTGCCATGAAGCCGATGATAAGGAATTTGTTGAGATATGGCTTTGGACGGTAGTCGATTAATTAAATTTGGCTGTGGAGACAGCCTCAACCCAAAATTTTTGGGGAAGATGGGAGTCCAGAAGAAGGGTTCGAGTAAGTTCAAGAAGGTGTCGGTGCTTTTGTTCAGCGAAACCATTTTGCTAGGGTGTGAGTGGGCAGCTGATGTGGTGTGTGATAACGTGAAATTGTATGAAAGATTTGAATTGATTACTAGTGAACTAGCCTCCACCGTCGGATTTGAAAATTTTGGGGGTTTTGTTAAATTGATTTTGCACAAAGGAGCAGAATTGAGTGAATTTAGAGAAGGTTTCGTCCTTGGAGTGCACGAGGTATAGCCATGTGAATCGAGTGAAATCATCTATAAAAATTGCATAATAGGAGTAACCGTTTACGGACTGTTGCAGGGCCGGACCCCAAACATCAGAATGAATTAAAAGAAAATGCGTGAGAATTCGTATTACATTTATTAAATGGTAGTTTATGGCTTTTAGCCATATTACAAGAACTACATAAAGTTTTGATATTGGCAAGATTGGGAATATGTTACTGAAGTTGCGAAAGAACTCGGATAGGCAGATGACCGAGGCGAGTGTGCCAGAGGCTGCAAATGATAGCTCTTGCAACAGAAACTTTTTGTGCAACGGTTGGTAACTGTTGAGAAAAAACTTTGAAGTGGAAAACAAATGTAACGGTTTACCAAGAGTTTAGAAACTCTTACTAGCTTCTTTTTGAAGCTAAAATTTGTTACAAATGCCTCATTTTATGCAGCGATGCCTTTGTTTCCTCTAGTAATACAAGCAAATAACAAAAAGAAAAAAAAAAAAAAGCTGTTATCATAACGGGTTATATAGAGTTTTTAAAGTATTAATTAAGAAGGATAAATTAGACCTTGAGAGAATATTAAAATTGTGACAATATGCCCTCTTGGAAATGATCATCTTACCGGTGCTGTAATGTTATGGAACACCTATGATAAAGACTTTCAACTTGTGACGAAATTCATTGACAGCGCTCATCATTTTGCTGAAACAAGGCAGGCCTAATTTACGGCACTTCCAATAAACTTCAAAGCATCCTCAGTTACTTCCATCTTAATATAGCTACAATATAACTTTTTATCCTTATCTTTGTAAAAAAATTGTGTTAAAAAGTCTTCATTAAAAAAAATTTCTGTATGAGCTTTAAAATATTTGGATTATCTAAGAAGAAATTAAAAAATTTTGAGGTCCCTCCTAAAAAAATTTCGTTTTCCAAACTTTCTTTAGTAAATTGCATAAATCCTGGAGCTAGACTAAACTGTTCCAAGGGCAATTAACAGTCGGCGCAAAATCGAAAATGAACGAAACACATTTTGTTCCTTTATCCTATTATTTCATTGCAACTTTTTCTTCTTGCTATTCCGTTCTTTCTCATTTCGTCATTTTCGTTCAGGGCCAGTAAACCTCAAGTAGTCCCATCATATTTGCTAGTCAAAAGCTTTACCTAACTTGTTTGGTTGCTAAACCTAACTAGCTAAACATTATTACAAGCTTTCGTTATCTATATGACCTGGAGGAGAAACGAGACTAAAGAATGCGAAAAAAATGTGCTGCTTGGCGAATACACTACATGTGCTTTTCTCTGGCAGCAAAACGAAAGACCACCTGGAAAATTTATGCACGAAATACTATTTTTTCTTAGAGATACAATTAAGTTGTACTGCAGATATATTACATGACATCATATAAATTTAGAAAAACCAGCTACTTGCAGAGAGCTTACTGTACCGTCGACAGTGTTGCTCGTTGATTATGGGATTGATTCAGCAAACAAAACCAAAGCTATGATTCCTCTCATAAATTTATATTTTAAAAATTCTATTAAAAACACCTACCACCGGATTTAATCATGATGGGCATATTTAAAACAAACGATACACCTGTCATCTGGGAGCAGGCGGAGCTTCAAAGTTGCCCCAAGAGTTTAAGTTGGATAATGTCATGAATATCACTACATTCTTTAAAGAAAAAACTTTACTAAATAGGTTCTTATTCTCGGTTGCCAAACCGAAATATTTTGATTCTATATATGTTGCATGCCAGAGTATTCATGACTATAGAGAGAGAGATTATTATCTTAGCGTTTCTATAAAGATTCATCATACATATAGATTAAAGAGTATAGTGAGAAAGATTACAATTTGTACCATGAAAATAAAGAAGTGGAAAAAATATTGATATTGCCCAATCGAAATATTTGTCCTAGCTTTTGTCCTTAGCTTCAAATGATGTGATACCCTATGATGATTAAGGAATGTGTTAATAAAATATATTAGACATACAATATATAAAACTCATTTTTTAATGCAAGTTGAAAGAGCCCTTATGCATGGAAGCTAACTGATAAGTGTAAATAAAGTATTATTTTATGTGTTATATTTTTAGTAAAAATTTATTATTTTAGTTGTGTTTTGTAGGAAAAATACAAAAAGGGCACAAAATTCTAATTATCATTCGGCACCGTGATGTGTGATGAATCAATGCTGCAGTGCCATCAAGGAGACCGCCGGAGCGCCACAAAACTAACATGGCTGCAAAGACTTCTTTATTTCACAGCTCCGTAGCTTCAAAATGGTGAGCTTGGCAGTGCCATGCTTACTATCTTCAAATGTCGCGTCATCACCACCTATCACGCCTTGGCATCAAAATTGCTACTATGGCACCATAACACTTAAATGTCAGTAACATTGTGGCATAGCAGTTGTAACTTTCAAAGGACACAATCTACCAGGGAAGAGACACACCTGTTCACTAAGCAACTAAGCCACATCAGCAAGCACTACAGTGAATCACACTACAGGAAAAATGGCCTATACCGGCGGTTACGCCGTCGGACTCTAACCGCCGTTAGACCGCCGGTAACGTAAAAAACCGCCGGTAATTTTACACTAACCGCCGAAAAAAACCGCCGGTTTTCAGCGTTTTTCCTGTAGTGTCAAAATCATTAGCATAGTGGAGTTAGTACAATTTATGAGTGCTGTGACATTAATTATTCAAGCATCACAGTGCTAATTGCCTAATTTATATTTTTCTATAAATAGTCATTGTGTTATGTTTGTAAAAGAGTCCAGTCACTTGTACACTTGTACTTTTCAAAGTACTTGTTAAGATCTCTCTTAGAGTCAATTCTAAGGGAGACTATAGAAGTACTAGATACAATTATTCGATTATTTAGGTAGTGTTTGTTTGAGCAACTCGATTGACACATTAATGAAGAAGGATTGTAGAGGAGATACATTGATCTTTCCTAGTGATATCATTCTATTGTATTTTCGTTCTTTATGATTTCAATAAAAAAAAGTTTGGTTACCTTTTCTTCCATGTCTTGCTAGGAGATACATTATTTGTAACAATAAAAGGTTAGTATATATCGTTTTCACCCTTACAAGATTAATAGATATGTACTGATGTATATACTTTGAATCACATTATAAATAAGAAATTCATTATGAAAGATAT